CGTTCATTTTTGAAAACATTCAGGACATGGAAACCTTCATGATTATTTGCAAAGACACCCTCAACCTGAGAGTAAATGCTGGAGTTGGGGTGCACAGTCACCCCTATACATTTTGTTAGTGTGTGTGTGTGTGTGTGTGTGTGTGTTACAGCGGAAAGAGTGTTCGTTTAAATGAACAGAGCTGTTACAGCGGAAAGAGTGTTCGTCTGAAGTGGACTGAGAGCTGTTACAGCGGAAAGAGTGTTCGTCTGAAGTGGACTGAGAGCTGTTACAGCGGAAAGAGTGTTCGTCTGAAGTGACTGAGCTGTTACAGCGGAAAGAGTGTTCGTCTGAAGTGACTGAGCTGTTACAGCGGAAAGAGTGTTCGTCTGAAGTGACTGAGCTGTTACAGCGGAAAGAGTGTTCGTCTGTAGTGGACTGAGAGCTGTTACAGCGGAAAGAGTGTTCGTCTGAAGTGGACTGAGAGCTGTTACAGCGGAAAGAGTGTTCGTCTGAAGTGGACTGAGCTGTTACAGCGGAAAGAGTGTTCGTCTGTAGTGACTGAGAGCTGTTACAGCGGAAAGAGTGTTCGTCTGAAGTGGACTGAGAGCTGTTACAGCGGAAAGAGTGTTCGTCTGAAGTGGACTGAGAGCTGTTACAGCGGAAAGAGTGTTCGTCTGAAGTGGACTGAGAGCTGTTACAGCGGAAAGAGTGTTCGTCTGAAGTGACTGAGCTGTTACAGCGGAAAGAGTGTTCGTCTGAAGTGACTGAGCTGTTACAGCGGAAAGAGTGTTCGTCTGAAGTGGACTGAGAGCTGTTACAGCGGAAAGAGTGTTCGTCTGAAGTGACTGAGCTGTTACAGCGGAAAGAGTGTTCGTCTGAAGTGGACTGAGAGCTGTTAAAGTGTGTGTGTGTGTGTGTGTGTGTGTGTGTGTGTGTGTGTGTGTGTGTGTGTGTGTGTGTGTGTGTGTGTGTGTGTGTGTGTGTGTGTGTGTGTGTGTGTGTGTGTGTGTGTGTGTGTGTGTGTGTGTGTGTGTGTGTGTGTGTGTGTGTGTGTGTGTGTGTGTGTGTGTGTGTGTGTGTGTGTGTGTGTGTGTGTGTGTGTGTGTGTGTGTGTGTGTGTGTGTGTGTGTTTATAAAGATAAATAAAGATACTCAAAAAGTGTACTTTACTACTGTCCACCACTGGTCCCATGTCACTTCTGTGTGTACACATGCTTCTTTCAAGTCATTTCCATTGTCAGTTTGAAATACTCTATAACGTTTCCCCAGACTTGTTTGTAGTTCTTTTTTCACGTAAGTGCAGATAGTCTAGGCAGAAATGCATATTATGTTCCTTTATTGTCTTTGTAAACAACATTAAAGAGATTATTTTCCGCATTTAGATTATATAGATATATATTAGCCTATATAGACCCATACTAATACAAAATTACTCAACTTAAAAGGTAACTAATAGCCGATTATAAATTAATAATTTATTTAATTTAATAATTAAATTTTAATCAAAAAAAATGACACCAAACCATCTGACAATACTGACCTCAGACCAAAACACGGCAAGTTAAGTCAGTTAAGCCTAATACCATACAGCAATGAATCGCAAAGGAGAGTGGGGGAAACTGATCATGTATGTTCATAACTCACAGTCACAACTCCTTTATTATTTTGGATTGGCAACCACGTAAACACATCGTAATGCAGCGTAAGCTACATTTAAAAACATCAAAATAGACCCGCTGTGAAATGTTAAACAAAATACAACTAAAGTTACACAAACATTGAATGTCTATGTTACACAAATACCGGTATGCCGCAAGTTGTGCCGCCTGGCCGTAAAGTGTTTCATCCACGCATGCGTGGTACCGATAGTGTAGGAAAACCGTGACGTCTTCTACTACGTAATTACGCGCATGCGTAGAACGGATCGTGCAGATGGAACGGATCGTGTACCGACAGAAACCAGTTCAACCCAAGCGCTCTTTGATGACGTGAGGATTACGTCCCCTGCAGATCATCTGTCCATCATCGTATAAAGCCCGCCCTGGCAATTTGATTGGCCCGACGATTTCTGAACCGATCATAATTACTCCTCAATGGAGCGAGTCCAGACCGAACTTCCCGATCAAAAAATGTTGTGGGCGGGGTTCGGGCTGGCATCCAGGCTAGCAGCATACTAGACTTCTTTCAAAAACATTAAAAAAACAACACCAAACTTTTGAATGGAAGTGTATTTATAAAATGTTAATTATTTTGATTATTATTATTATTACTACAAAAATACTGTGAAATTTTATATTTTAAAACAATTTTTTTCTATTCTAATATATTTTAAAATGTCATGTACTTAGGAATTTTGTCAAGCATACTTTTTCTCGCCTAGATGTGACCCCCATGCAACATGTCTTTTTTGATATTATGAACAGCCCTCCCACCTCCAAGCATTTGATCTCCCGGTTTGTTAACCTCTTTGTTGTGGCAACCCCCTCTCTCCATATTAAAGAGGCGTGGAGCAAGGACACCGGCGAAGCTATATCTGACGAGCTATGGGCGAAAGGGTTAAAAAGAATAAAAGCATACTCTATTAATGCTCGACTTCAGCTTATTCAGTTCAAAGTAGTTCATAGGTTGCACTATTCCAAGACTAGACTGAACAAATTATTTCCGGCTGTCTCCCCCACTTGTGATAAATGTAAATCAACTAATGGAACTCTTGGGCATCTTTTCTGGTCCTGCTCTAAGCTCACTAAATTCTGGGTCGATATTTTCAGTTTGTACAGTGCTGTTTACAATAGACAACTGATTCCTGACTGTCTCTTAGTAATACTGGGCTGCTCCGAAGGTTCTTTGGCTCTTCCATCCGCTTTACAACAAGCCCTCATGTTTGGTATGTTCATTGCAAAACGGGTTATCCTAAAGGAGTGGAAGTCTGCTTCCTCTCCTTGCTTCAAGAGGTGGCTTAATGATATGGTTTCCTGTTTACACCTTGAAGAAATTCGGTTCTCTATGTCTAGTTCTCAAGATAAGTTCAAGAAGATCTGGGGCCCTTTCATAGAATACATCAGGAAGGATAGATTTCAAACTGGGACCTAAATGCAATGCACTTTTTAAAAAAAAAATGTAATTTTTTTTTTTTTAAATCTTTGGGTAGTTATCTCTACTGAGACTGCCACTCCCCTCTGGCTCAGGCCTCCGTGATTCAATTTGTGAATGGGCTTTTTGTGATATCTCTTCATTGTACTGACACGTATATTTATACTTGTTTCTTTCTATAAAATGTGTAACTGTTGGCTGTATGTGTTTTTTTTTTTTTTTTTTTTTTTTTTTTTTTTTGTCTTTGGTCTGTTTTTTTGTTGTTGTTGTTGTTTGTGCCTTAATTGTCTGATTTACTGCCTTTTTTTGTTTGTATTATGTGCACCTGTGTATAAAAAAAGAAAAAAAAAAGTCATGTACTCCAGCGATGGGACAGCTGAATTTTCAGCATCATTGCTCCTTTTTCAGTGTCACATGATCCTTCAGAAATCATTCTAATATGCTGATTTGGTGCTCAAGAAACATTTCTTACTATTATCAATGTTGGAAACAGTTGTTCTGTTTAATATTTTTGTGGAAACCAGGATACATTTTCTCAGCACACATTAAAGGTAAAAAGAAGAGCATTTATTTCAATTTGTATTGTATATTTTTTGTAACTATTAATATCTTTATTAGACCTCTATTAGACTCAGTTTCAGATGCTCTGGATTCAATAGTTGATAAAAAAAAAATTCATGACAAAATTCTTATGGTAAAATTCTTATGGTAAGTAAATTCAAGGCTTAAACAGACCAAAAACAAGGACACAAATGCAAAATTATGCTTGACTTACTAAGAACAACAAAATTGTCCAAAACATTAAGACAAATGGCACACATGGCACCACCTAGTGGCTGAGAGTTCAAAATCATCCAATCTTAAAACCAGGACATTTCATTCACAACAAAATTCAAATTCCCAAATGCACAAGCATGAAACATAAATAAGAAATGTAAAAATATATATTTTTTTAAAAGATTAAAATTTTATTTAAAATGTACTCAAAACAAATCTAAGGAAAATACTCACTTTATTTAGAAATGAGCTAGGGGTGAAATCATATGAGTCATGAACTGTCCTCCTGAGTTTAAAGTAGAAGAACAAAGTTTCTATAAACTATTTTAAGAACATTATTTTGAAAACATTTTATTTAATTCAATGTAAATAATTAGGCTATCCTATTGTTGCTGATATAGTAGATTTAAAGAAATGCCTTTGTTATTATTATTGTTGTTGTTATTATTGATATTATTGTTAATAATAATAATCATATATAAACAATGTGTATACACCATTAAAAGATTGTAGAGCAAATTTGTTAACGGGACAGTTAGTTGGCAGTTTTTATTTTGAAAACAAAAGAAAGAAAAAGAGAACTGTAACGTTGAACCCGCCATGGGGGCTGAGTGTGGACGGAGGAGCTGAACACGCAGCGCCGAATGAAGCTCAATGAAACCTCTATTGCAGGTATGATAAATAATGATGATGTATGTGGGATGATATAGTTAGTAGACAGGCAGACAGTTTTTAAAATTCAGACTTATCACCCAAGGTTAATTTTCCATCCAGCACAGTAGGTGGCGATAATGCTCCTTAGGAGTTAATCGCCATTAAACAACAAGAAGAAGAAGAAGAAGAAGAAAAAGAGAACCGGAAGTGATGATGTCACTGCAGCTGCTGACACAAATGCAGACAACAAGGCTGAAAATAACGAAACCGGCGGTACGTCCCCATGGTGCGGAATACGCCAGAATTCCAAAGAAGAAGATGCATATCAATCGTCTTCTTTGGATTTCTGGCGTATAGTAGATGTTATGCCAATCTCAAAGCTAACCAGGCAATAGTAAGAAGCGTCGACCACGCCCTCAACCCGTGCTAAGAATATTAGCCCCGCTTCACCTTCGAGAACGAG